ATCTAAAATTATCTCCGTGTATTTCACTGAATGAATTCAGAACCAGCTTGGCCACTGCAGGTGTTTCTGAATGCATTCAAATGACCTTATCCATCTTAAAGACCGGGGCAGAGTGTCAAGTGTCAGAAAAGCAACATACTTCAATGAAAAGAATGTAATAAAAGCTAATGTGGGAATTCTGGTTCCTTCTGGCATCAAGAGGCAGATTGACTCATGTTTTTCCTTTCTGGCCAAGCACTGAGTAATTAAAGGCCAAGTGCGGCTGTGATCCAGATCCCCCGCGTGCCAGGGAGCCCTGACCTTACCTCATGCCCCGCTAAGATGGCAGGCAGTGAGGGAGGGCTTGGGTCTCAGCTGCCAGAGAGCCTGCGTGACTCTGACTGATGCACCAGCCCCAGTGCGGGGAGGAGGTAGGAGCAGAACTGCTCGTTATTTTTCTTTAGATTGTTTGTGTGGACAAGTCATTATAAGCTGTAAGTTTACTAGTTAGAACCCAATCCAGGATAGCTGGATACCTGGTGACTTGACTTGAGCTAGTCAAGTAACACACTGTGGAACAATGAGAATGAGGAGGATGAGGGGCTTGGTTGGGTTGGAGTGAAGGATCTCACACACACATATGTCCCTGTGCTCTCCTGCCTTTCCTCCTGAGATGCTGTCCCTGCCCAGCTGCCTGTCCAAATCCCTTCACAAGCCACTTCAAATGCAAAACCCAAGGGCCAGATAGCATCACTGCCTCACTGCGCATAATCCTGTAAGGTTCAGGAACTCAACCTGACATAGGGGCTTGATGCCCCTAATTTCCCTATGAGGCAGCTGCCTCCAGGAGGATGCCCCAAAGTGAGGGAATGTGCCTGAGGTGCAGATACCCAGAAATGCCAAGGCTGGAACCATCTTTGTTGTCCCGCCCAGGAGGCTGGGAGGCAGACATGATGGCAACAGGGTGTGAGGAAACTGGGACAAGCAGTTGCTGGCCTTTTGGTGTAAAATAATGATCAAACAGAAGAATCCCTCTTTTTCAGATAGAAAAAGATAAAAGAGAAAGGTTTCACAGATCCAGTCACTCACCAGACTTTTCTTGAAACCTCAAGGAGGAAAAGGCATGGTCAGGACATTTATAGTTGGCGAACACTCTGTGTCTCCATATGGCCCAGAAAGTGGGGTGTTGTGAGGGCAGCAGAATGAGGGAGAAACAAAGCCAACCTCTGCCAAAACTCTGCCCGTCTCCCTACACAGGTATCTGGCTGAGGCAAGGAGACCCGAGTGTTCTTATAAATGCTTTATAATGTAAAAATGTGCCGGGATGCACAGGAAAGGTGCGAGTAGAGTCTCTTTCCGTTGATTTTCTCATCTCCCAGTACGCCCACACTTAGAAAAGAAATCCCCGTCACCTCCTCCTCAAAAGTCAATAATAAAAGTTCCCAAACAGAATTTGTCAGGTTTACATTATAAAGGATCCCTTCCCTTGAGGTACACAGCTATAGAGAAGAGAGAGTTCTCTTCAGCCACTACGTCAACGACATATATGCTTACAGAAAACATACATGACGGTAGGTGCAGACCTCTGCCAGAAGGGCTCAGGGGACCACACAGTTTTCTTTGAGAATTCAGCTACAGGACCTTGCTTCCCCTTGGTTACGGGCATTGCTCTTGGGACTTGGGTTGGGTTCTGGGAAGATCCTGGCTGGTCGCAGTGACAGGGATGCCAAGTCGCCTCTCACTTCTGAGGCATCGCATGAAGGTGTTACCACAGCCATCACGGTCAGATATGCTCAGACTGAGTAACAGCCCGAGCAGAAGCCTCCACAGTAGCCTCTCCTCAGGAGGAAGAGAGTGAGACGGGGCAGGGGTAAGGCTATCTGAGTGGTGGACATCCTCAGGGGTAAATACATGGGTTCTGAGGATGAAATCTGTAACTGCAAGGAGGGAGGTCCTTAAAAAGCCTACAGAAAACCCCACATTTGGCTTCCTATTGGCTTGAGCCTCCTACCATGGCCCAGCTGTGCTACACAGGCTTCCTTCTGCTGTGTGCCCCAGGCCAGGCCCTCACTCCGCTGGCAGGGGGGACCCGGGCCAACCCTACCAAAGTGATGGGAGAGCTGAATGAGGAAGGGGAGAGAAAAGAGTTAGGAAGCGTGGCGTGTGAGCAAGAGAAAGCATTGCCTGGACCTCCGCAACGTGACAAAGGCCAGAGGAGACGGGTGTGAGTCTGTTCTATGAGCAGGAGAAAGGGGAAAGGGGGTGTGCATGGCCAGCTGGGAAGGATGGTAGCACAAGAGAGTGGATGGAGAAGGGGGAGCAAGTACCATTTACACTTCCAGGGACATTAAGAAAAAGTTCAGGAAGTGACATCACTAAAAGCAAGTGATGGATCATAACTCTCAATCCATCACGTAAGTGTGGACCCCAGAACCAGGGGATTCTTGGGGTTTCCTGCACTGTACCTGGTCTGAGGACCCACAGAGAGGCTTCGGTTCCGGGGCTGTTAAGGCCTCCCCTGCCACCAGCACCAAAGCCACCATCGCCATGTTTTCAAAGGGCACAAAAAAAAGAACAAGATAGATGACAACCCTCCAGCCCATCATTGTCACTCTGGACCTGAGGAGAGACAACTGGACTGTGGACGTGGGGCAGGCATGCAGAGGCTTTCGCTGAAACACAGTTCCTCCCCACGGGCACCTACGTACCTGCCTGGTTACTGGGGTGTGTGTCTGTGTGCCTGTGGGTCTGTGCGCGCCCACACGTCTGCATGCGTGTGTATGCGCATGTGGGTGTGTAAAACAACCCAGATGTTGAAACCAGCCTGTGTTCACCTTCAGCCATTTGCACACATTATACATCGACACACACTTGGCTCTGGCATCTTGACTTCAGGATGCAATGAAAGAATGGAAGGATGAGGAAGGGAATTACTATCTAACAAATCATCGAACATTACATCGAGACAGATGATGTACTATATGTTGGCTGACTGAACTTAAGTTTAAAAAAGACATTTGTTGACTGTTCACGTTGTGCCACGTCCTAGGTGCTAAGCGCTCCACAGGCATTGTTTTGACTCCATTGCAGAGATGAAAAACTGAGATTAGGAAGTTTACGATCCTGCTATGTTACTCTAGGACATCACGTAGGTACGGAGAGGGGCTGGGATTCAAAAGCAGGGCCTGCATGAGTCCAGAGCCCACCCCATCCTTTCCTGTCACCCCCATGAGCTCTGTTCTTCCTAAAGATGGGGAGGATCCTTTCCTATTCCTTCTCTCTCCTCATCTTTTGTTTCTTCAAAGAGAGACAAACTACTTTACTGAGATCAAAATAATAAAGAACAATATGACGAATAATATATGCAAATGAATTGATAAAATGAGAAGGAAACTGACCTTTTAAAAACTCAAGGGTGATATTTATCCTAACAAAGTAAGTAGGCCTCCTGAGGAAAAAGCCAGACTTTAATGATTTTTTTTCTAAGAAGGAGGAAGAGGAGCTGGGAGTCCCTTTGGTAGAGCTGCCTTGGTTTTTATCTTAAGAATTTATAGAAGGTCCAGATGTTGGGGAAAATACCATGCTTTTGTGAAATTTCTTTGGAACTAGCTCAGTCATGTCTAATAAGAGGCTTTCTTTTTGTGAGAGGCACAGGTGATTCCATATGACTCTAAAGGTAAGTGCGGTTAATACACTGGTCTACAAGGGGGACAAGGTATGCAGACATTGTCCTGCCAACCCAGCTCAGCGCCACCAGCCACATTCAACCTGGCTCTCCTTTGGAGGGTTCTCTGTGGCTGGGACAGCAATGCAAATAGCCCACTTCTAGGTTCTGGAAGATCTTAAGTCCTTAGGACAGCTGGGGACATTTCATCTCTCCTACAAAGAGCTCCCAACCCTCAGACACTTAGAGAATGTTCCTTCTTCACTGTCACCCCACCTCCTTCTCTGACAGGATGGGCAGAAGCTGATATGGTATTTGTGGGGAAGGGAGGGATGGATGAGCCCTTTCTAACCACCTGGACCTGGGAAGGTCCAACCTCTGTAGGCACTCTGCCCCTTCCCTTTTGCAGTTGCTATCACTGCCAGCAACTCCCAGATGCTTTCCTTCTGCCTCATCACAGTTTAGCCAGACTTGCTTAAAGACTCAGCTCTCTCTTATAGTTGGAGAGACTGGAGGGAAGTCTACTGTGCCACCTGGAAAAGGGGGAGGCTCTCTGGCAGTGCAGCAAGGTGTAGACAGGGACCGAAAGCTGTCATTCATCTCCTGGGCACTCTATACACCAGCTTAAGGAAAAGGCCCTGATCGTGTGTATTTCTTAGCTACACCCTGAAAAGCCCAGAGAGCCCCTTCCTTGGCTGGATGCCACAGGAAATGTCAGCATGTGGTTGAAAACCTACTACAGCTGATCAGTGTCTGGGGGAAAAAAATTCCCCAAATGTAATGAGCATGGCTTAGTCACCTGAATGTTTTCCTCAGTGCGTTACCAAGGAAGTTGTGAAAGTCTTAGGTTCTGGAGCTAAACACATGATCATGGTTCTTATATGTATAAAATATCTCTGGGGTACCCCTGCTCATGAGCAGTCTGTAACCCCTGACTCTGTTCTACACTCTGCATTCTTCTTCCAAGTGGATTCTTTGACATACCCAAGAAAGGAAAGGGTATGTGAGCTGTCCTGGGTCCCTCCCTGAGCCCATGGAGGAACTGCCCACACGGGTGAGCTCCTGCCCATGCTTACTCATCTCCGAGAAAGGAAATCCAGGGCCTCTGGCTTCTTCCTTGGGACTCCCCCGGCTCCTCCTTCACCAGTGCTGCCGTTTGGGGCAGTGAGCTGAAGCTATGAGGCTCGCTGGGGTACCACAGAGGACAAGTGGGAAGCAGACTTCCAGGGTCGCTTTCTTTGGCACCAATCTGAGGGAACTGCCTCTCACGCTGGCCTCGGAGAAGGCCTTGAATCAGCCCAAGTCTCAGGAAGAAGGGATGAAAGGACATTGAACAAGAAGAAAGAATTACACTTACGCCAAAGCAAAGGCCACCAATGCGCCAACCACCACCACGAAGTCCAGGATGTTCCACAAATCGCGGAAGTAGGACCCGTCCTGCAGGATCAAGCCTTGGTCTATCATCTGTGGGAGAAGGATATGAACAGCCACAGATGAGCCCACAGAAGCCGGCAATGCACCTGGAGCTCAGGGCTCCCCAGGACAATGCCTCTACTGCCATTGCCTCCACAACCAACCCTACACAAGGACCTGGAGAGCAAAAGGACAGGTCCCACAGGCTCTCTCCACCTAACTGTGAAGCCCAAGGCCCCATGTCATAGCCACCAGGGTTCAATTAGACTCCTCAGCCTCACATTTCTCCTTCCTTTAGTGTCTCGGAGCACCAGAGGTCCCCACATATGCACAGATGAGGAATACCCCAGACGGCAGAGACCATGAACAAGAAAGTGGGGTGTTAGGTTGATGGGGCACAGATTGGTAAGCAGCAAGTGCAGCTAGGACTACATGGAGTCTGGGAGAACTCATCCCTACTTGACCCTCTGCCTTGGCTTGAACCAGGGGGCAACGCTCGGGAGGCAAGGACAGTCCCCATGCCTGTCTGCATTCCTGACTGCCTGAGAGCAGACAGGCCCCTCCCTGGGCCATACCCACAGGTCTGCCCCAGTCTAAACAGATCCCCCCCAGTCATGCTGTGCCATGAAATCTGGCCGTGATAGACTTCCTCAGACTTCTGAGGCCAGAAGAGGGGTCTCCAGAGGCCCTACTGAGGTCTGCCATTGGCTGGTAGGTGGCAGCACTATACTAAAGGAGCAGACCCATGACCCATCCAAACCCTGGAGCCCAGCTTTTCTCTGGAAGCTTTTACCTTTATGACCATTTCAAAGGTGAACACGCCAGTGAAAACATAGTCAAAATACCTCAGGACCTGTAAGACACAGGGAAAGGGAAGACACCCAGGTGTGGCCATCAGGCCACAGGCATGCATTTGCCCACACACACGCAGTCCTGCACCCCCACCACAGCTCACTTCTCCCTCAGAACAGAAGCTTGGGCTTCTCACTGTTAGCTGGACACAGGGAGGAGAGGAGCCATGCATTCTCCTACAGCTACAGGACCCTGTGGTCAGTCCTTGGCTCTTCCTTCCCGTTGGCCAGAACTTAACTTCTTGGATCCCAAATGACCCACAGATATCTCCCTCAGGCCCTGGAATCCTTGTCAGTTGCAATGCTCCCCACATACCTCCTTCATATCTCCTGACATATACATTCGGGACCTCCAGGAGATGTCTCAGCAACTCAGGGTAGAGTTTCAGCTTCCCAAATTCATGCATATCCCTCACGACCCGGCATCAGAGAGCCTCCCCCCACCCACCTCCAACACAAGCCCCTGGGTGGCTGCAAAGACTGGCTGGCTCTGGAGGGAAGGCCTGTCGATGAAGCCTTAGGGCACGTGGGGGGCTGGGAAGAAAGAGCTGATCTAGAAAGGGTCCATACTTTGTCCTGAGCAACAGGAATGGGCCATTTCTTAAGCCTTCCTCATTGCCCCCAGGAACCTTCCCTAGTTCACCTTCAACACTGGGCTGGGGAGGGGCTGGGACGGGGTGGGTCCCAGGGCTGATGGCTCGGCTCCCATGCACCCACTTTGTTGCGCTCAGAGTTGGTCAGGACGGGGTCCTCGGCTGCCAGGGCGATGCTGCTGGCCGCGATCACCAGGAGAATGCACATCTCAAAGTAGCGCAGACTCACGATGTAGTGGCAGGCCCTGCGGATCCTGGGGGATGGCAGAGCCAAAGGAGCTGCCTCAGCTTCCCGCCCCCTCCCCTTACTCCCCACCCACGGGCACATCGGCCTCCGCCAGACAGCCAGGCCCTGGCCAGAGGAAGCCACAGGGAGAGCAATTTAATTTCGCAGGCACCACCCGTGATTTAAAGCTCCAGTGGGAGAAGATAATCAGATTGGTTAGAGGCTGCAGTAGCGCAAGCCAAGATACATTATCCGTAGGCACGTCTGAGCCACCGGAGCAGCCCGACAAAAAGCACTGCGCATGCCCACATGGTACCCTCCAACACCTCTCAGTGTGTACTCCCCCTGCCCCCATATAAAAACTGGGACATAGCAAGGAAATTGGAAGAACCAAGAAACGTAATGATATACCTGGAGTCTAAAATACCTAATGAGAGTAGCGACATGTTTTCATGAGCCCCGGTATGCTGATTAAAGTGATTATGTTCTACAGACTGTATTCTGGACTTGCGACTTGACATACATTAGCCCAAGTTCCTTCCTTCCCAGAGCCTTGCCAGAATACTGCCCATGTGGTCATGAAAACCTTTCTGTCTTCCTAGCCTCAGAAGCTGGTCTCTGTGTACATCTTGTTCATTTCTGGGGCAAAAGGCAGCTCAGTCTAACCTTCCAGAATCTTCTCTGCCACCTCCATCTTATGCCCCTACCTGTGCTTTGAGGAACCATGCTCATTTCAAAATCCACATTTGGGGTTCTGGGACCAATACTCTTAAACCCCAGTGGGCCACTATCTATCTAGGCTCCGTATTCTCAGCTCTGTCTACCCTTGGAATATTTGGTGAAACATCTGAAGTAGACTGCCTTCCTCCCACCCCACCCCCACACAACTTACCAACCAAATAAAAGGACTAAGAGGCAGAGGGTCGTTTTCTCCTGACATCTCTCATGCTTCCCTGTCTTATTTTGTGGACTTAGTACAGAGCTCAGAGGCTTTTCAATCCCATGACCCAGCTCCACCAGTGAGCGTCCTATATGTTCCGGATGTCCAGCCATAGTCCACTAAGAAGGATCAGGAGGAGGAGTGGACCCTTAATTCTCCTTCTCCTCGTCACCCCACCCTGGCTCTAACCCTGGCACCAAAGGGGGAATGACAGGAGGGGGCCTTACGGGTTGGTGGTGCTGAAGATGAACATGGAGCTGTGGGGCACCATGGCTTTGCCTGTCTCACGCTTCTCCTTCTTCTGCTGCTTCTTTTCCACCTCCTCTTCTTCCTCTTTGATTTCTGCCTCCTTCAAGGGACTGGCTTCTCCATCAGTCTTGTTGCTAACTGCAAAAAGGACATGGTGAAATCATCAGAAACTTTGCCACCTGTGAGGATGGTGTCCGTTGGGGACAGGATAGAAAGGAGGGGAAGGGGTTAGAGGAATGTGTCTAGCCAGGTACGTTGCAAACACTGGAGGTGTCCACTATTACACAGAGTTAAGCCCTTACTCTCGTTCTTGCCTGGCCCTCGCCCTAATTTTACATGGTATGCCCTTTTTTGGATGTATAAATAATAATCATGTTTTCCAGGGTCACAGAAGTCTTGTTTCTGTTGTAAAGTTTACAAAGTCGACATATCTAAGATCTAGATTCTTTGCCTATATTCATTTACTGAATTTTCACATCACTACACCCTGAGCAGCGTGTAGTCTGCCCATTATACAGACAGAAAAATTGAAGTTCAGGGAATTCAAGTACCTATCCTAGGTTCATACAGCTAGTTCCCAATTCAAAATCCTGTAGCCTTTCAATGATCTCACACTGCAATGGAAGATTTTAAGAAACCGTTACTCTGTTTGCGGCTGACTTTCTGTCTGTGCCTGTTTCAGTCGTGATTAATGTTGAAATGGCAATGCAATATTCATGCACTCCAGAATGGGGAAGAGGAAGGAGCTGGAGGCTGAGGGGAGCTCTTGGGCCACCACCCTCACTTTCCACATGCAAGTCACAATGCAAGGTGAGTGGCAGAGAGGCGGAAGCTCTCCAAGCGGGACAAGGGATGCCGTCAGCTCTCCCACTGTTCGCTCTCAGAGAATGTCTCTACCCTGGAGCTCTATGCAAGCAGCAAACCTTTGAGGTTCTGGCCCCTTCTGGGTCCTTCCAAGAAGTAACTCATCCAAAATGTCTCTGATAATACGCTCTTACCTATGACCAAGGCCATCGACCAGCCCCAGAAAAAGAACTTCTTAACGTTTCTCATCAGAGAGGGTCCAAAGCACTAATACTAGAGCATAAAATGAAACAGCAAAAGTGGTTGTCTGAAATCCCAAGACAGGACCGAGCCAACCCCAGGGAGCACTGCACATGAGAGATTTCGTTTTCTAAAGTACTACTGGTATTCTGAGCGTAGAGAAGGTGACGGAATGGAGACGGAGCAGTGGGAGAAAGAAAAACGGGGAGAGCAGAAGACTGTTCTGTGAACAGAAAAAGAAGGAAACGGGAGAAACACAGCCAGGGTGGTTGCAATTCAGTGGCCATGGAGCAACAGGTGGGATTAAGGCAGGAGTGGGTGTGTGGTGAGGGTCAGGGAGGGGATGGGGTGGGGTCGGGAAGGAGGGAAGGGGGTGGGGTTAGTACAGGATAGGGGTAGGCTTAGGGCAGGGATGGGGTTAGAGCAGACATCGGGTAGAGATTAAGTTTAGGGCTGAGAGAAGCATGGGGTTGATGGAGGAAAAGGGATGGGGTTGAAACAAGGACAGGAGTGAGGTTGGGGTGGGGTTAGGGAGGGGATGGGGGTGGGGGTAGGTCCAGTGATTTTTGTCTCCCCTTTTGAGGTCTGGAGGTTAACGTCCATTTCCTGAGGTATCTGGGATTAAAAACTGAGTAAAACCTACTTGGAGAAAAGAGTAGATAAGAGTAACAGATGTTAGTGCTGAGAAAAATGTTAGTGCTGAGAAAGACCTCAGAGATCACCCAATCCAATGCTTTCACTTTAGGGCTGACAACCTGAATCTTTGGGAGAAGCAGAGGTTTGTGGAAGCCACACTGAGCAGCTCTGGGCCATCTCCTGCTCCTTCAGAGGTTCCCTAAGCTGTCCAAGTGACAGGGCACCTCAGAGGTCCTAGAGACCACCACCAAATATTCACACTATAAGTCAAACAGCTGAACATATATCTGGGTACAAAACTACATGTGATCTCACTGAAGGCTCTATAGTGGTCACCGGGGCCAAAGCTGAAGGAAATTTTATGGGCAAAGCTTAAGGTGGAGAAAATTCCAACTTGTTTTTCCTGCAAACCAAGCTAAAACCACTGCTATCGTTTACTTGCTGACGAATGACTTCATCCTGCTGGTGGGATTTTTCCCATAGCCTCACTGGGTGGGGTGACTCCAGAGCCACAATGGTCCCCAGCCCCGGGGTGGGATGGGCAGTGAGGTTCAAAGGGGACAGGGACTGCATTCTCACTGTGAACCACAGTTGAGTCCACCAAGGGGCCCACGTCTGGGATGGCGACGGTGACGCTGGTGCTGTCGGTGTTGGCCTTGTCTGTGTCAGCCATGGTGCAGGAGAGGTCAGGCTCACTCTGGCTGATGGCCCGGCCTATATCCAGCTGCACGTCGCCCAGCAGGGCTTGCTCGCTGCTGCCCTCCGCCTCCTGTTCTGTCAGCACCGTGTCCTTCCCCATTTCCAGCTCTGGCTGGGGCCGGACCAGAGGCGTGTTGTCCTCATCGAGGGCTCCTGCCAGCCCGGAGCCTCTGGGCACCATGAGACTGTTGGTCCTGGAGGGACAGAGGAGAAGACTGCTGGTGCTCAGATAGGAGGAAGCTGTTCTCAAGTGGTGGGTGAGCCAGACAAAAGGGGAAGGTGAGGGAAGCCCGAAGAGCCTTGCTGGAGAGCATGGCATCTGCTGCCTCCCACCCCGACCCACCCAGGCAGGGGGCAGCTAAGACCCTCAGGCAGTGTTCAGGCCTTCTTCTGGTCCACCCACCTGTGACCCGCTCCCAACAGGAGATGCCCTAGAAGAACAGACGCTGGTTTTCAAGGGGACAGAGTCCATCACCTATCATAGCCACGCACACCTTACGAAGGGGGTGTTAGCATCCTCTCCATTTTGTAAAAGGGAAAACCGAGGGTTAGATAGGATTGTCCTGGGGAATCCTTCACACCAGCAGGACTAGATGCCTCCGGGGCACTCCTGTGACCACCCTACCTCCTCAAGTCTTGGCTTCTCTCCTCTTCCTGGATTGTGGGTTCCTTGCCCGTGTGGCTGCCCCTGGACTCGCAGTCCTTCTCCCCGTCGGTGGGCACCCCTTCATCCAGACTCCGCTCCTGGCTGGCCGACCGGCTCCGAGAGGTGGAGGAGAGCTCCTTGCCTTCTGTCCTGACGCGACGGTGCCGGCTGCGCCTCTGGCTCTGCCTGTGCCTGGCGCGGTCCTCGAAGGTCACCATGGTCTCCCCTCCCCCAGCCTCCTGCTGGGTCGGGTCACAGTGGCCATGACAGGGCCGGGCCAGCCATGGTGGCTCCCGTTTGCCCAGGGACAGGGGGCTCCTCTGGTTGTCCAGGGCACTTGACAGGTCCCCTCCATCCCCCTTGAGGGACCCCCCGCGGCTGATGCGCTCCTCCTCACACTTCTCCAGGCCCAGGCCCAGACCCTCGATGGGCCTGGGTCTCCGGTAGAGGCTGGGGTGGGCATTGAGTGGGTTGAGGGGGCTCAGCGGGTTGAGGGGGTTGAGGGGGTTCATTGGTGGGGCCTCCTCTTTATTGAGGGCCTCCTGGCTGGACATCTGCATGTGCCTTCGCAGCTGACTGGTGCGCTGCTCCCACACCGACATGTGGTGCCGGCGCCTCCGCTCCCTCCTGCCAAAGGGAAAAAGGGCGAGGACCCGGGTCAGAGCCAGACAGCCGGAGGCGAGGCAGGGAGCCACTGGGGTGCAGAACCGCCCTCAGCGGCCACGGCAAAGAGGCGGGACACATGGGGGGGGGCAGCAAACGGGAGAGCCCCGCACCTGCAGACAGGAAGCACAGAGAGAGGCAAGGAGCAGAGTGGGCCACGCCCGAGGAGGCGGTTGGAGCAGCACCTCCTAGCGTGCGGGGTTTCCCACTGTCCTCCCTGCTCCACCGCGGGGCTGGGCGGGCGCGAGCCCTGGATGGAGCCCCCGCAGCCTGCAGGGCAGTGGTGCTAAGGCTCACCCGGTCTGCACTCCCCTGCTCTCCTTTGCCCTCAGGACATCCAACTACACCCACCCTGTGCTCCGTACTGGCCCTTAATGCCGGGTCAGAGACCTTTGTTCCCCCTGCTGTCCCTGTCCTCTGCCTCTCAGATGACAGCCGGGAGTGGGGGGGGACACAGGCTGAGAAGCACAGCGGTGGGATCCTCTGAGAAGACAGCTGATGGCGGTGACTAGCGGACCCGGGCTGGCATCCCCCTCAGAGAACAGGCGTGCCTTGGCTCTCTTCCACGGCGGCTAATGGAAACCACGGGACCGCGTGTGCCGAGAGCGCCGGCGGCTGCCTCTCAAGCCCCCTGCCGCACGCCTCCGCTCAGGGCCTGGGCGAGCCCGCACGCGGCCGCGGGCCCGCGCACGGTGACGCGCACGGGGCTGAGCTCCTGCGGGCGGGAGGCTCGTCACTACTTCCGCTCACACGTGCCCACGCGCATCCCCGTGGAGGCCCCCACGCGGGCCCACGGGCGGGGCCCGCGCGCCCACACGGAGGAAGCACGCCGCCGCGTGCCCGCTCGCAGGCCGCACGGAGAAGGGCACGACACACGGGGTCACGTACCGTAGACACACACTGAACTGAGCACAAGTGGAGAGGTGCGGAGGACAGTGTCCACGGAACACACGCACACACCACGGCACACGCTGACATGCACACCCGGCGCCACTGTGTCCGCGGTGGGGGCGGAGACACGGCGTCCCCACACACACACAGAACCGCTCACAGACACGCAGACCGGTACACACATACAGGTGGCTGCTGCGTGGCTCCCACATCGACATGTGGTGTCTTCGCCTTCTGTCTCTTCTGGGAAAGAAAAACGAACAGGTTCAGTTCACCCCCACCTCTCAGAACCACAAGCCCCACAGCCACCAGCCAGTTTCCAGGGAGAGGCACGGGGTCCTCTAGGTGCCCACACGTTCTCCACATGCCTGCTGCCCTCGGGAGGCTCCTAACCTTCAACTTGCCCTGGGAGTGACCTTTGCTGCCTCACTGTGTGCAGACACGCGGATCTGGTGTGGGAAGCGCACATGCAGACACTCAGGGTGTCTCATCTCATGGGGGACACAGCTTCAGATGCTCCGTCTTCATGCCCCACAGGCCCCCACACTTGCCCCGAACTGCCCTTACGAGATCTATTCTGGAAATCCTACAAACTTGCATGAGAGTGGTATTTCCCCCAGTCACGTCTAGGATTCACACATGGGTGTGACTCCCCAGCTCCTCAGTCCAGGCACTGTAACTCATGCAGGAACAGGTGCCTCGCCATGCAGGCCATCAGAGCCACGAAGCCCACAGCCACAGGCAGGGGCCCCGGGCCGTGGGCTGCTGGCCGTGTACTTCAGGATACGTGCGACACCCCGCGACTGTGCAACACGGTGACCCCGGCCAGAGGTCTTCCAGACTCTGTCTGGTCAGCCAGGGAAAGCACAGTGTCAGCCTTCTCAGCCATGCACAGGGGGGGGAATCTTTCTCCAGACACACACATGCTGTGTCCTTCCCTTTCCAAGGTCTAGAGAAGGTCAGACCGGCAGGGTGTGGGCATCACCCACAAAGGCAAACGGGACTCCTAGAATTGAAGCTCTCGGGGTCATGTCCATGCTCCGGTCGAGGACGACACACGTCGGACACCCATGGAGCGAGCCTGCCCCCAATGTGGGCTGACAGACCCAGTTTGGCCCATTGGGCCCTGCCTCAACCTGGGAGATGCTTGGCAACTGCTGCTCCCTCCCTGACCAACGGAGAACATGCTAGGCCGAGCAGCACTGCTCAACTGCCATGTCCCACAGCCGCACAGAAGCCTGAGACACGGGTGGGCTGAGGGAGGAGAGGCAGCTCGTGGGAGCCTCACTTGGCATCTGGAAGAGGCACAGTGTGTACGAGCATCCACGGGGTGGGTGCAGACATCACTGTGGAGAGGCCTGCAAGCGCCCCAACTGTGTGCAGCCCTCAGCAGAGGCAGCTGCCGTGTGAGGAGGCCCACATGGGGTGCCGGTGCCAAGCCTGGGTAGCACATAGAACGAGAAGGACCCACTCTAGCCAGGCAGCATGCACACCCACTAGGGAAAGCAGATGCTATCATCTATTTGCAAATTCTCCAATACTCAAGTATCAGCTCTCCAGAAGCACATGGGTCAAGAGTTTAAGTACATGGAAGAATTCTTTCTCATGAATGCACACATGTGCGCACGCACACACACACACAGGCCAGGCAAAGAGAGACCCAACTTTTAATTCCCATACAGACCAGATACACACTTCAAACTCCACTTCTCCACTCACACATACACATATCCCAATTCACAGCCCATCATTAATACACCTTCACTCCTAAAACCACACAGAGAAGCACTGACATCGCTCCAACTCATGCATATGTGACCTCACATACACCTGACATTAACCTTGTGGATCAGGAAGGGTAGGGGCATCCTTCCCATTTCAAAGATGGGGTGACAGAGTTTCTAGGATCCTAAGTGGCTCTCTGTCCAAGGACACTGAGCATAGGAGTGACAGAACCAGCCCTCAGACCTCCTGACTTTTGACAATGCTCTTTTCAGGTTTCTCTATGGACACCCACATCCTCGGTTGTCCGGTAGTCCAGAAATCAGGGGTCCTGCCTGCACTCCGGAGCAGCACCCCCCCACCCACCCTGACATCGCTCCCATCAGCAGCACCCACCCTGCGACCAGAGCTAGATCTCTGCTCATCTTGGATGGTTGTAGCACCTTCTTCCACCTCACCGTGCCCAGACACGCACACAGCTCACTGCCTACAGCCCTATGTCTACCAGCATTTCATTCATTCTTTCATTCCACAAATAGTGAGTTTCTACTCTGGGCCAAGCATCTTCCCAACTCATATCTCCAAACCCACTCTTCCCCTGCTTCTTCATCTAAGTAAATAGAACCACCCACTCCTAAGTGACAGCCAGCCCTCCCCATCGGCATGTTTGCATACCTGTGTGTGTATATTTTTAACCCAAACTCATGAGTGCAGGGAAGGTGGGGAAGGAACGACTCAAGGCCCAGAGATTATTCCAGAGGGGAAGGAGTTGCTCTGCCTTTCTCCATTAATCATTAACAAAGTTTGAGGGCCGATTTTCTTTCTCGCTCACAGAGAAGGGGCTTGGAGGCCAGGCCTTCAGTTTTGAAAGGTGACGACCATTCAGGGGAAGTAGGGCCCCACATATAACTCTGGGATGATTCTAAAGGGTGAGGCAGAGGACATTCAGAGCCCTTCCCCTGAGCACTTGACGAAGAAAGGCTTCTCCCCAACCAGATTCAAGTAGTAGATGACAGGGTCTAGTATCCAGGTAGAGTTGCACCTCCCGGGGGCCTCAAAGCCTCCCCATCCATTCCCAGGGCCACCCACCCAGACCTCACAGAGGCTCAGAAGCCACAAACGGGATTCTCAGCTCCTCCTCCAACACCTTCCTCCAGCTCTGCACCAGGCCCACGCCTTGCTAGTTCTGCCAGCAACTTCAGGTCTAGGCTAAATCCTTTAAGTCTACGCTCGTTGCTCCACTCTCACTGGCCATTCTCTCCCTAATCCACTCCAGCTGGATTCTGTTCCCACTGGGCCACTGAAACTGAAGGTTGCTAACAATATTCATTTTGCCAAACCCAATGGCCCCTTTTCTGTCCTCAGCTTATGTGATCTTTCGATGGTATTTAGCCGCACTGTCCACTTGTGCCTTCCTGAAGAGTTCTCTTCTCTAGGTCCCCACGATAGGACACTTCCCTGTCCTTTCTTTCTACTCCTAATTGCTCCTGGTCTCCTCTGCCAGTTTCTCCTCTGCCAGACCTCTAGGCACAGGAGAGCTCTGGGCCTCTGTCCTGAACAACTCTGTCTACATGACAACTCTCCGCCAGCTCACCCATGCTGAGAGCTTAACACTGTCCAAATACAAATGGCTGCCCCCAACTCCTCGTTTCCAACACGGACTTTTCTTTCGAGCTTCGCCCTCATGTAACCAATGGCCTATTCAGCATCTTCACTTAGATGTTCTCTAAGCATCTCAGATTTATTGTGGCCAAAATGAACCTTGGATTTCCACCGTTTTCCAGACTCTCAGTAAGTACCAGCACCATCTACCTAGTTGCTTAGGCATCAAAACTTAAAACATGAAAGAAATATTTCTTTTTTCTTCTTATCCCCACCCCCATTCCATTTAACCCATCACCTCTTCCTATTGGTCCTCCCTCCAAAGCACAGACTGAATGGGATTCTCATCTCCTCCATTGCTATGGTTTCAACCACCACTACTGTCACCTACTTTACTCTTATAGCCAACCCTCTGTCTCCCTGCCTCCACCCTGGGCCCTTCTTCATAGAGCAGAGCGACCTTTTAAAGCATATATCATGCTATATGATGCACCTGGGTGTTTCAGTTGATTAAGTGTCTGCCTTGGGCTCAAGTCACGATCTCAGGGTCCTAGAATCAGGCCCCACATCCAGTTCCCTGCTGCGCAGGAAGTCTGCTTCTGCCTCTCCTTCTGCCCCTCCCCCTGCTCATGCTCTGTCTCAAATAAATAAATAAAATATGTTTTTAAAAAAGCATAGGTCATATAGTATCCATCCTTCTGCCTTAGACCCTCCACAGCTGCAATTAGAAAAAAAGCTAAGACCCTTTAGCTGGGCCTCCAGGATCTTCCTGGCCATGTCTCCTATTTCTCCTTGCTCCATGCCCACCAGCCACCCTGCACCCTCGCTGGAGAAAGCTCTTTCTTTCTGATGTCACATGACCACCTTCTCCGCGTACAGATCTCTGCTTGAATTTCACCTCTTCAAAGAATCCCTCCCAGGCTGCCTGTAAGTACTCTATCCAATTCTTTTTCCTCTGCGTTATCCTGTTCTATGTGCCTTAGAGCAGTGATCACCACCTAAAATCATTTACACGTCTATTATCTCTCTCACTAAAATAAAACTCCATGAGAAGACGCTGTCTTGTTCACTGCTGTATCCTAAGGACATTTCCCAGCACAGAGGAGGCATCCTCTGATAATATAACATTTTGAGCGGATGAATTGGCTGTTAGCACAGGAGCCCAGGGGTCAGTTAAGTGGGGACAGCCAACTCACTCGATAGAAGGCATGTTGGGTGCAGACATCGGGCTGACCTCCTTGGCCTTCTGCAATGCATGTTTCTGGTTGAAAGCCTCCTCTTCTTCTTGCTCATCCTAGACACAAAGCAGAGATGGGTTTGCCTGGGATCCCCATGAAGGAGAATAGCTCCCCTGGCTCTCCCCACAAGTTTGGGAGACCAGGTGAGATGAGGAAGGCAGGAAAGGGCCTTAAACAAGGCAGGAGGAGGGTGGGTTGGCTCAGAGACCTCAGGTGGCCAGGTGCCAGGCACCCAGGGAGTAGAAGCCTCCACAGCCTGGCATGGCCGGGAGTTCTGGTCTCCAGCCTGCCCCATAGGCTTCCCCACAGTTTCTCAGGAAAGCCGTGGGATTCTACCCTAGGCTCTAGCCCCTAGTGGAGCGCATGGCGGTGGAGGTCAGAAAATGGAGCTAACACATCTCAGATGTTTGCAGTGCCTGCAAGGAATGGAATAGGGCCCTTCCAGCCAGACCCATCCAGAGTACATTGTTGAGGCTGTGCCTCTACTTGTGCCCTTTCTCCTGCCCAGCTAAGTGGCCTCACCCCAGGGGATCAGGCAAGGACTTCATCCCCTCACCTCCCTTCCTGGTGTAAGTGTCCCCTCTTTGTAATGACACTGGGGAAAGCCAGTTCAGGTGAAATGACTAGAGCTACTAAGAACACACATCTTCTCAGCCTGCTCTAGTCTCCCACGTAGAGTATTTTACTGGATCCTAACAATGATCCTATGAGGTATGCAAAGCAGCTATGGCATTTCCGTGCTCTAGATGAAATGCTCAATGGCACAAGAAAACCATGAGATCTGCAGAGAATGCTTACCTTGGTCAGCTCTTGGGCATTGGCCAGATTGTCCACAGCAATGGCCAAGAACACGTTCAGCAGTGTGTCTGGGGTGATGGGTTAAGGATGGGCAAGTAAGAAAACCAAAAGGCTTCAGCAAGACTGAGAGGGTTTCCTCAAGGTCTTTGCTGTCTGAGATCCAGCAGGAAAAGAAGCTACCCCATGGCTTCAGTTAGGCAGAGGTTATGCAGCCCTGTCTGAAGGAGAGTATCTCTTCTTCCTTCCACAGATCTTCTCTTTGCCTAGGACACAGAGATAGCTGAATCCAACCACTCAGGGGCCAAGTTGGAGTAAGGGGGCCTCTAGACACGTATGGCCTCCACTCATAGCAATATTGAATCTGGCACAATGTGATGTTAGGGAGCTCAATGCTGGAGTTTACCTCTCCTTTCTGGGAGGCTAGAATTGAAGCCCACCCAGACCAAGATCCTACTGTGATCTTAAAGGTGAAAAGAAGTAAGATTCCACAGACCCATCACTGAACGGCTCTCAATAATGGAATGCTACGTTCTCTCATTCTTCTTATCTTAGAAGGCTTCCATATTTCATTCAACAAAAATGTCATGGAGCGCACAAGATCATTATGGAACCCATTTCCATTCCAAGCTCTAGCCACTGAAGTCCCAATTTTCCAACTGTCTTTGAGGTCCCGGTGTTGCAGTATATAGAGCTGGTTTTAGCATCAAAGTCCAGGTATGACTACCCTCAGAGGAACAGGGAAATCAAGGTGCCATTGTCACAAACTGGGCTTCTTTTCTGTGACCCACTGCATAACTTTCCTCCTATGGGTGTCTCATGTTTGGTTCACAGTCTGCTCTGGGCCCTAGAAATTTTCGGGGCAGAGAAGTTAAAGGAGTAGCTTGTCTCCATGAGGATATGGGAAAAGCAGAAGTACAGCTACATCACACAGCTCTCCCTTCTTATTCCACCAATGCCATTTCAAGGGAAGTCCCATTTCCCGCAAACGTCTAGTGATTGTGTAGAAGTCTGTAGTACATAAGGTGCATCCAAATAAATGATCTCACTTACTATTCACAACTAATAAAGGAATCGATGCTGTTATCCTCCTTACAGAGTTGAAAACTAAAAGCTCAGGCAGATTAAGGGACTTGCCCGAGGCCACAAAGCTGGTAAACAGAATTGCTGAGATTAAAAACTAAATCTTCCTAGTCTAGATCCTATGACCAGGTATGGGTTTGGGAATTAAATGGACTTGATTTCCAATCTCCCCTTACAATTTAATAATTGTTTGACTGACTTCTTCTAAGTCACGGGTCAGATGAACTATAAAACATTTAGTATAGGCTCTCGTGAATATCACAAATACAATAAATGTTAGCTGTGCTAAATAGCATCAGCATTAATCATAATACTGATATTTCTGAGATCTTACTATGTGCAGGTCCTGTTGTATATTAACATGTAATTAATTTATTAGTATTACAATGTGGCCACTATTTCAGCCTAACAGTTATCTTTGTCACCTCTTATTTTCCCCAGCTGATAGTATTTCCAACTACTCAGTGTAAGAGCCTCACATGTCATTATTAGTGTATGCTGAAGATTTGGATAATACTTTATCTCCTTTGTCTACATTTGTCTTCTTTACCCAACTAGTATATAATCTCCTTAAGATCAGAATCCTTGGGGTGGCTGGGTGGCTCAATGGGTTAAGCCTCAGCCTTCAGCTCAGGTCATGATCTCAGTGTCCTGGGATCGAGCCCCCACATCGGACTCTCTGCTCAGTAGGGAGCCTGCTTCCCCCTCTTTCTGCCTGCTGCTCTGCCTACTTGTGATCTCTCTCTGTCAAATAAATAAACAAAATCTAAAAAAAAAAAAAAAAAAAAGACCTGAATCCTTGTTTCTCTTAGTTTACCAAGTAATGTCCTGAATCCCCCCCACCCCCCCCCAAAAAATCCCCACCCAACTCTACCACCACCACCATAACCAACCTCCTCAATGCTGGTCCAGGCAGGCAGGCAGCATGAAGAGGACTATCTTAAAAAGGATACAGTTTCCAAACAAGGTGAGCACAATGAAATAGATAGCTGACCACATGCCTGAGCTGACCCCACCCTGGGAGCGGATCCCATTGTACATCACCTCATTCCAGTCCTCCCCTGTTAGGATCTATGTAAAGCAAACAACAGGCAAGTCAGAGATTTGGGTTGGTTGTGTAAAGAGGAAAATTCTGGCCTCTTGCTTGGCCATTCTGCCAGGGAGAAAAATAAAGTCACTTCCATGAATAATTCCAAACTCTCTTCTGATAAGGAAGATAATTTTAGATGTTGAAAATGGAAAGAGAGCATCACAAGGAAAGATTCTATTCTGAGTCTGACTACAGAGTCCCTCCACTTCCAGCTTTGCCAGACCTATAGGAACTACACAGATCAGGTGGTCTGGTCACTACCAGTCCATCCAAGGAGAGCTAAGATAAAGTTCTTGGGACAGAAGCATTATTAGAAAGAGCCTCATGGGCTCCAGTTCCAGAAACCTGTGTTCTGGTTTAGCCTCAAAGTCTAGATAAACAGTGTTTTCTTTAGCTCTCTGCATTGCTGATTTTTTAGTTTTCCTCCATGATTTAAAAACGTATTTTTTTTGTGGGGTTGGGGGGGATGAGGTGGGTTGAAAAAATAATTCATTAAATGGACATATGGGTCAGAAGATGCTTCCAATTTCAAAAAACCATAAATGTGATATGACAGTTTTACTTCTTCCTTACCAATCTGGATGATTTTTATTTCTTTTTCTTGTCTGATTGCTGTGGCTAGGACTTCCAGCACTATGCAGAATAAAAGTGATGCAAGTATACATCCTTGTCTTGTTCCTAGTCTTAGAGAAAAAGCCTTCAGCTTTTCACCACTGAGTATGATTTGGCTGTGGGTTTGTCACATATGGCCTTTATTATGTTGAGGTAGGTTCCTTCCATACCCACTTCACTGAGAACTTTATCATGAATGAATGTTAAATTTTATTTTTTTTTCTGCATCTATTCAAATCATCTATGATTTTTATCCTTTATTTTGGTAATGTGGTGGATCACATTGACTAATTTGTGCATGCTGAACCATCCTTGCGTTCCTGGAATAAAGTCCACTTGATGGTGGTCATAAATATTGTAAGTTACTGAATGTCTTTGCCTTAATATCTCTTGTAAACTCACAAGTATAGGAAAAAGGCCAATAATGTTATCATGATAGAGCTTTTCCGTTATTGGTAAGAATGTAGCTACACAAATTCTAGGAATTATTGTGATGATAATTACTCAACAAGAGTCCCAGTTGCCTGGGACGAGCTTGGGGTGTTAAAGTAGGATTCTCCTAACATATCATTTTGCGGTGTGAACTCCAAAAGATCCTACATAATATTTTTAACTGCCAGTTGGCCTCATACCTGAAATACGGTCATGATGGCTGCAGGGAAGGTGTCAAAGTTTGCTGAAGGAGTCCCATCATTAAAGTTAAACCTGAAAAGGAAGTTCAGAGAGAAGAATAAAATGAAAATCTCACATACCAAGTTTTCTCTTCCTCCTTAATCACTTCTTTTATCCTTTCTCCATATCCTCTTCTTCCCTAATTTCTCCCCATTCCATGTAATTTATGAAGATGGTATTATTAGTGACTATTACTGGTGGGCTGTGCACTTTGAAGGTACGGATTATGAGATGGGGTTTGGACTGATCTTGACTTATAAGGCCCCACGCTGTACATTTTATTTTAGGGACAGCTCCAAAGAGAGGGGTCTCCAGATCCAGAACCCTGTACAGTGTGAAAAGATTAGAAGCAGAGACATTGGTTTTATACACACACACACACACACACACACACACACACACACACACACACACAGTGGTTGATGTGGGCCAAGGCAAACAGAATGGTGGCATGGTGACCAAATTAGAAGCCCTCCTGCTCACAGACTGAAGACTGGGTTTTGAGGCTCCCTTGAATGGAAAGTTCGTTGGTGCTTACCTGCCTCCAAACAGCTGCATTCCTAGGAGAGCAAAGACAACGATGAAGAGGAAGAGGAGGAACAGCAAACTGATGATAGACTTCATAGAACTCATCAAGGAGACCACCAGATTTCGCAGAGATGCCCAATACCTACAAAACCCAAACATTACAGCAATGAATACTGAATTTAAAATTATCCCCAAGTCCAGCCACCTGGTAGTCTATGAAACAGGCTGTATTTGTAAACTTGTGTGCAGGAGAGATGTCAGCAACAATGAGGCTCCCCTTGGGAGTGTGGCATGGGATCTGGCGTCATAGGTATTTTTCTGGTCTGATTTTTGGAGGAAGCGGTGCTGAAGAACGGAGTAGGGGACGTGGTAGGTAAGGGGAACACGTGGCAAAGGAGAAAAGGGGATGGAAGGAAATATACTAAGGAAGAGAGTAGCGTCCACTCTCACAGGTGGTTGGGAGGAGTCCAGATTCTGATCACTTACTTGGTTATTTTAAATATTCTTAGAAGCCGGAGAGCTCGCAAGACACTGATTCCAAAAGATGTACCAGGTCTGAAGATTGCCCAGACCACTTCAAAGATACTCCCCACTGTGACCTAAAGAGCCAAACCCAGCCACAGTGAGGAGGAGGAGGAGAAGAGAGGAGCCTTCTGGCATTCAGCAGTCAACACCTGTCACTGCGCTATGGTGAAATTAAAACTCTCCCCTCCCCACCCAGCACAACTCCAACAAAACCACCTATTTGTGAAGGCTGCCGAGGGAAAATGAGACTCTACTGCCTCCCTCCGCACTGCTCTCCATTCCCCTTCCTGACGTCACTCCTTCATGCTGAAGACTGGTTCACTGACTGCTGCTCTGTCCTTGGTGGAAACTACCAGAGCCAGTCACTGCTTCTGCACAAACCTGAGAGCCACAACTCTTCTTACATAACAACACCTTGAACAAACACACAAAAGAGTGGTACTCGAAGCAACAAAACAAATTTAAGTTAATACAGGTCGCATTTCAATGTAAAAACCTCAGAGGAGGTCCACATTCTCTCACTGTCCTAGAATTTATTTCTACCAAGAATGGTTCAGTCACCCATATGTGAAGTATCTTTCAGTCACTCAGGTCCCACACACCCCAGTGTGACAGTACTAGTTGGTGGCATATAGATTCTGATTGCTGTAGGAAGGAGCAATGTCAAATTAACAGTTGGGTCTTTATATGTTCACTGAATGTCTACTATGTTCTACACAATGCACTAGGAGAAGTGACAAAAATTAATCCTTGCTGCAATGCTGAAAAGTACGTATATAGGGAATGGTCTTTCACTAGCTGTTGTGCCTGAAAATTGCCCATACCCAGAAGCATATGTTTCAAGTGAAAAATGCAGATTGGCAAGGGCTCAGAATCGTTAGCACCTAACTAAAGAACTGGCAGGAATAGAAATGGGTTTGGCAGAAAGAGAAGTGGTTCAGGAACCCAAAGTTTTGCAACCTTGTTCTGCTGCTAACTGGGTATATGAACTTGCACACGATGTTCTCTCTTCACTCATCTGCAAATGGGATCTGTAACAGAGGCCAGGAGTCCTGAGTGGAGTGGGAGTACGGGTATGTCAGAGGATCTTGAAGATGGTTAGATAGGCACACATTTACATATCAACACCATTTAGGAAGTGAACACTGGATGAAATGGTCTATGTGGGAACCTGCTAAGGGAGGAGTGACTGAGTGTGTGTGTGTGTGTGTGTGTGTGTGTGTGAATGCTCATGTTTGCATTAGGGTATATCTAGATAATTTTCCCAATTTTAAACTTAACTAAAAAACAGAACAAAACAAGTATATAAGCTTCTCTTTTTTACTGAGCCACCTTCTGGAATCAGTTCCTTTGTTCTCTCTCAGGCTTCCCCCAAGTCAGCAAGTGGTTAAAAGCTTGCTATGGGCAGCTCTGTCGAATTCATTCAGCTCTACACTTAAGTGTACACAATGGTGTGCATGTTACACTTCAACAAAAACATCAGAAATATAAGAGCTTTAAACCAGCAAACAAACAAATCCTGGTATGGGAAGGATTCCCTCATTCCTGCCCTCCCTTTAGCTAACTTACTTAGTTCCCTTTTTAAATTCCGATTTCAGTGCTTCATGCTGAGCAGTGGAGTGAGCTGCTTATCTCAAACTGTGGCATATCAACGTGAAGCAGGAGGATAGGTGGGCTCGGGACCACTTACCCCAAAATCAAAGCAGTTGAATGAAGAGTGAAAATAAAGTCGAGGCCCCATGCCATACATCTTCAGGGACATCTCCAAGAGGAACAGTCCCAGAAACAAAAACTCTGCATAGTCTGAAAGCATCAAGAGCAGAAGCATTTGTTTTGTAGATGCCATGGGCTCCCGCGTCCTCCAGCCCAACCTCCTGAACCTTATGGAGGAGCCCTCAACACCAGCAGGACCCAAAGGCAAAGACATTCAATGACCATATCAGGTCAACAGCAGGAAAAACCTGATGATATCTGGATACACTCTGACCTGGGGGGCCCAGGCACACTCCACACATCAGCTTTGCTCTCTCTCAATGGATGGGCTTGTCACTGGCCTTTAAATGGTATATGGTTCTCAGGAGAGAAAGAAAGGGCTTTACCATGGCACTGATGAAAGAACAGGATTTGCCCTACACACACCCACCTGTGACAGCATCCTGGATCCCCACTTACACCAGTGGCAGCCCTACCCAGAGCTGACCTAGAAGTTCCTGTCTTGGTCTACTAGAAGTAACCACTGGCCTAAGAACTTTCTCCCCAGGACTTAGGTGACCAAAACACTCTACACCATTTAGCCCCCTTACAATATTAAGTGAAGGCCTTAGAGTACCCAAGGCTAACCCCATTTTGTGGTCTTATCAGGAAAGATTCATCCAATTTGATCATGAACGACAAGGGGACCAGTGCTGTGATATCCCCACCCCTTGAGGCCACCAACTCTGCCCTCCCCGCCAAGAGTACTGCCGGGCCCAGCAGGACGCCCGTCCGCTCATGTTCACACCCGAATCCAGCTGCACCACGCAGGCCAGCACTCACTGGCCACTTACAGAGAAGATGCGTGAGCCACTGGGGCTGGTTGTGATGGACGATGGCCACACAGGCGGTGTTGAGAGCCACGAGGCTCAGCACGATCCAGTAGAACACCTGGGATTTAACCATGTGGCGTATAGAGATGCGCAGAAGCCTTTCTTTGTGCCGGAAATAGGAGGCCCCATCCACCTTTGTACTTTTGATGCTGGCTCGGGCGAGAGGGGTGCCTAAGGGGAGAGAAGGAAGGAAGAAGAATGAGGCTGCAGGACAGATTACTCTCCATGGCAAGGAGGCAGTCAAAGGGGTAGGTGGACAGCTTCAGTCCTGGGGGGCTAGGCGACCCCCACATCACAGGCCCAGGGCATCCGCATGGGGTGAGCTACGTAGCTTCTGTAGCAGAGATCCCTGCTTTTCCTTACTGGCCACTCTCAATTCTAGGAAACTGAAAGTTTCCCTGGGCACACCAGACATGGACCCAGTGTCCCGAATCCTAGTAGGGTGCCATTTATGTTTTTAACAGATTGGGCTTCTCTCTGGCCTTTCCTTTTAAATACGCTTCAGGCACTGGAATCGTTTTGCTGCATTTGTGATGATTTCTCCCCCTGGTAGTCGAGAGCAGCAACGGGTTCTGCACACCTCGTCTGCTTTTAAGGATGAAGTGAAGGAGGAGGGAGAAATGTGCCATCCCTTTTCCTGGGGAGGTTAAATCTGCCACTAGCCAGCCTATCTAAGAGAACCTGGGACTGAAGAGGAACCATTTAAGACCTGCCAGTAGGAATTTGTTGAACTATCACATGGGAGCGGGTGGGTGCCACTGTGGTCAGGCAAATGATCGCAGGTCCTCAAATGGGGGTCACTAGAAGCAACAGGTCCTCGGGATCCTCTGAACAATAACCCAAAGTGGGCTCTCATGATCACCTCCAGGACGGATAGTTATAGACGCAAATGGGAGACATCTGCCATGCTTGAAGGATCTGGGTGGGACTCTTAGCCTTAACCCTCATGGTCCATTTTTCTCTAGATTCGATTTCCAAGTCCTTCCTTAATTACATCCCTGAATTCTGGCTTCTTTTGATTCTATTCCTCTTCATGGTGCTTCTCAGAAGACAGGATCTTTCTTCTTACGGGAGCTCAGACAAGTCAAAGAAGACCTAAGTGGTTCCACTCACCCACAGAGGAGATATCCACGCAGTGCTCATCGCTAGAGTCTCGAGTCATGGCCTCTGTCCGGCTCCTTTTGATGGTTGCCCTTCGAAGCACTACACCAGGGAAGGGGGAGGCCAGTGAAAGACCACGAGCACAACCAGATCATTCAGGTCAAAGTTCAGGACTGTGTGTCAGGGGCTCCTGTGACACAGGCAGCTGCCTCGCACCCCCTGGGTCGTGGTTACAGAAGTTGCCAGTGTCTGTAGAAACACGGCTCCCGTGCTCAGCAGCACCTCGAAACACACGGGCTCCAGAACCCTCCCTAGACCTCATCTACGTGCGGTAGGTAAACAGGCGCTCCCTATCGATTTGTCTGGCACTTCAAAAACAACGCCACTTTCCGCTCGTGAAAGTAGTCCCAAGAAGTTGCCCAAAAATTTTCACAGAAGATCCCTTTACGTGCCACTGGGTGTGTGATGGTCTTTTCATTGTACGGTATCAATCACATGCCCTAGAACAAAGCAGCTCTAAGATTTCATTTCCATCATTTTAAAAAGCATTTAAATCCATGACTCAACTCCCTGCATTTTAAAGCATGAGAGATTTTATGACAGGGAGACTTTCATTTCAAATCCCGGGGCACTCTTCTTTTAGTTTTTGTTTTTTTTTTTTTTTTCCCCTCCTCTTTTATCAAGAGATGGCCACAGCCTAAGAGGGCACAAATGCGGGCATGTGCCAGAGCACGGCCTTACCTTCTAAGGCTGACGTCCCAGAATTTTTATTTTCTTCGGCAAGCATGACTTCCTCTATATGGAAATAAATGGTTTAGTGAATTATCTGTAAATGTCAAATTATTTTGCAAAGTGAAAAATCCCCCAGGGTGGCTGTGGCTCCAGGGTAGCAGAGAGAGAGAGAGAGAGAGAGAGAGAGAGAGAGAGAGAGCAAAGAGTTCACAGCTCTGTGCAGGCACAGCATCAGAAAGACAGCCAGGGTCAGAGAGGGAGCTCCTGAGTGCACATCAGAACAGAAAGGAAGTTCTGTAATGAGGGGGCGCTTGGAGGCTGATTGGTAAAACTCAGCTCTGTGTCTGATAACACTTGTTGTGAGCAAGATCTCTTTTTTTTTAAACTAAATTGGTAGGAGTGAAATCTCCTAAATTGGTAGGAATGAAAAATTTCCATTTCTGTTTTTCCTTCTACCCAGGTTCTGTAACCTTCTTCTAGCAATAGGAGCTTCCTTGGTGTTTCGTGTCTGCAGCACGTACAAGGCTTACCAAGGCATAGCATCCACCACACCGTTCAGGAGGGAGACCATGTTTTGAGCCCGTCTGCTTCTTGGAGGAGGAGCAGAGGAAGATGCCAATGGCCCAGAGAAGCAGGGCTTGTGGGCTTGCTTGCTCTTACCCTAATCCCACAGTCTGCCTTGCTTGAATGGAAGAGGCTTAGGCCCATCATACATTTGTGCCTCTGATAGAACGAACAAATATATTTTGTCCACCTTCTTGGCACAGAGTTCCAAAACCCCTGGAATTTACTGTTGTCTGTGTGCACACAAGATGACTCATTGTGGGGGAGGACTGTGTTACCTGGGGATCTGGACGGGTCCCCAGAAAAACCAACCACATATTTCGCTATAACCTTCAGCCCCATTCCCCCTCCTAACTCCCAGAATGGGTGAGGGGCTTGAGAATGTTTAATTGCCAATGGCCAATGAATTAATCAAGCAAGTCTATGTAATGGAAACTTCCAAAAAACAAAAAAAATGACATAATGGGGCTCAGGAAGCTTCCGAGTTAGTGAACATGTCGAGGTGCTGGGAAGATGATATGCCTAAAGCGGGCATGGAGGCTCTCTGCCTCCACCTCTAGGTTTCTCTTCCATTGGGTTGTTCCTGAGTTGAATCCTTTGTAATAAATTGGTGATAGTAAGAATAATTTTCCTGAGTTCTGGAAGTCATTCGAGGAATGATCAAACCTGGAGCCCTCTAAATTTGTAGTCAGGCAGGCAAAAATGCAGGCCACCTGGGCACTCCGTGTACGGGTGCTGTGTGAAGCAAGGGCAGGCTCGTGGGATTAAGTCCCTAACCTGTGGGATCTGTGCTAACTTCTGGGGGTATTTGCTGTCAGGACTGAACTGAATTGTTGGGGACACCCATTTGGAGAACCGAAATGCTGGCCAGTGTTGGAATGAGGAGTCTGGTTGTTGGTATTTTGAAAAGAACCAAACAGTCCCTTACATTCTCCTCATGACCTCCCCAGGAACAGTCCTGCGTTCCAGGACGTGCCCTCACTGGCGGGATATTCTTTTCCAGGAAGACTTGTTTAGAATAAACCTCACTAGCATCCCTCCAAACTTACAAACTAGCCCTTCTGTCCCATGTCTGGCAGGATTCTGAGTCCCCTTTGGGAGTGATGTGGATGAAGTTTGATCCCCGCCCCCACCTCAGCCACAGGAGGGGTTGTCGGAGGCCTTGAGCAATCACTCCTTGAGATCCCAGCTGCGGGGAAGAAGCTTGCAGCAGGCCCTATTAAACAATGGTTTAATTGAAGCAATTGTTAAAAAGTAAGAGGACAAGCAGAAGAGGGTAAAGTCATTACCATCATTCCACCTGCATATAAAACAGAGAGGATGTAATGTACTTCCCAGGGAGGGAAATATTTTGGGGCTGGGAGGGGACCGCACATTATACCAGGTCATAAATGTTTAGCTTTCTTTTTTAAGTACAGCCTCTGGCAAAACTCTAAGTGAACAGGTTAAGTGTTATTGCTGGGATGCTCCTTTATGCAGACATAGAGGGTTTTAAAGTCAAGCACAGCCCATTGTGTTCGTTCAGGAGGGCATCATTTAAAAATCAGGCACTCGTTAAAATCGCCCTCATGGCAACGTGAATGACCTCATCCAGGGGGGTCACGTCTGCTGTGTACAGTGCCTGGGTGCTGGGGTGGGCAGATCTGAGGACCCCCAAGGCAGACGGAGGCTGTGTGGGGCCGCTGAGTATCTGAGAAGCGCTTTGAGGGCTTTGGGTGTGGAGCTGTCCCCCGTCCCCCACTGCCTTTTGCCAAGTTCTCTTTCGAACTTGAGAGTGTCTTTCCAGGGAAATGTAACCCATATGTCTCTGATTCACTCACACCCCATTTGCAAAGGGAAGGGCCAGGAAGCACAATTTGACGTCGCAGTGCGTCTTTTTTCTTAGAAGGAGAGAGCTGGCTTTGCCAACTGGAAGAAAGTGGAGCCTTGGAATTCTGCATGTATGCAAAGAGCAGAGCCACAGAGAACAGCGTCCTGTGCTGTCTGACCACGAGGGGGGTCACGAACGGGGCGGGGGAGGGTCTGTGCCAGATTCTGCTACTAGCCTGCCCACTGGGGCGGTCTGTCAGATGGTTCCTCCACCCAGGAAGCCAAGGATGGTGGGGAGCTTCAAGCTGCCTGCCAGACCTGGAGGCAGATCTGCTCTGTAAGGCTGAGTTACCATTCTGGAAGGCGGAGAGGTTCACCCCCCTTCCCTCCACGAGAGCCTCGGAGAAGAAAGGGCAAATTTGGAAGCACCATCAGTGGGCACGGAGCAGGCCTCCAGAGGCAGCCAAGAAAGGCAGATGGTCCTAATTGGGAGGAGGTTTTTAATCTGGCTTTGAAATGGCACTTTTCATCACATACACACACTTTCACCCTGGATAGGTGATCAAAGGTTGACTCCAAAACCGAGAGAGAGCTTTTGTGTGTCGGTGGTTAGAACGGGAGGGCCACAGTGTCATTTGAGAGCTGCTGTATGTAGCAGAGTAAGGCTCAGGCAGCTAAGCCTCAAATCATATTCCAAATTTCTCCTGCGAGACCTCACATTTGTGCTATGCTTTCTACCGGGAATAGAGGGAAAAAAAATGCTGTCAAGTGTATTTTTTTTATTAAAATAAATTACTCTTTGCTCAGGATGAAAATAAAGATATATAACAGCAATGTGATGCAATCTTTAAAATAATAAGGAAAGAAAATGCATCCATTTTGCTGACAGATACAGGGTGATCTATACCTCTCATAAGCAGCGGAGCCACAATCAAACTGGAATCTGGTGGCTCTGTGGGTTAATAAAATCGTGATCGGTTTGGACGTATCCTCAAGGCTGGGCAAGAACTGTTCCTGATGCTGAGCCTCGTAGTAAGGAACTGGGGATGGCTCGGGGAATAGGAACAAGCAGCTGTCGCCATCTGCTATTACTCACTTACTGTGGTGGCCTTGCGGTCCACACCCCTGCTTCTGACCTTGCCCTCCCACTGTCTACTCTCAATGCAGCAACCCTCCAGATCATCAGTCGGACCATGTCCCCCCCACCCCTTGCCCAAAACCATCCAGTGGTTCTTGCCTCGCTTACAGGAAAACCCCAAACCCTTACAGTGGCCCATAAAGTCTGCCTCCTCCTCCCATGACTGCCCCCACCCTGTCTTCCTGTTCGTCTGCCCTTATTCATTCCTTCTTCTGCTCCTGTAACATTCCTGGCCCACCTCCACACTAGAGCCTTGGCACTGAAATACCCCCTCAGACATTCCCACGACTTATGCCTCAGCTCCTTCCAGTCCTTCCCAAAAATGGGTCTCCCTGACCTCCCTATTTAAAATCACAACCTACCACACACCCCATAACCCTACCCTGATCTGTGTTCCAGTGTACTTGTCACCTTCTTACAAGTTACTTATTTATCATTTTATCTCTGCCTTCCCCAGCTAGAAGGGAATGAGTTCTGCAAGAAAAGGCTTCCTGCCGTATCCCAAGTTCCTAAGACAGGCGCTGGCACAAAGTAAGCGCCCACTAAATACTCGTGGAATGAATGGATTGTTGTTGCTGCTGGTGTTATTATTATTGTTGTTGTTAGCAGTAGTGTAAAATGTTAGCCACCCAACCTCAGCTCTAGGATTGGGCTCTGTTCCCTCTCACTCACCTCACCTTGCTAAAATTCGGGCCTCATGAAGGTGTTTGGTAGAACAGGGATGGTTAGACCCCAGAGGAAGCAAGAGGGACCAGCAGGGAACCCACACAGCTGGTGAGGCAGCCAGCACCTCTCAGTGCTCTGGCCAGGGTGGCCCGTGTGAATGGAAGCAGTGGGGGCAGGGAGGTCTGTGCAGCCCGCCACACCTCACCTGCTTTGTCTATCCAGGCGCGGTACCCATTCAGCTCGCGCTCAATCTGCTGTTGCCGCCGCAGTTTCATGAACGCTCTCCGGTTCTCCACTCTCTCTCTCTCTTTGGCAAATTCCCTGTGGACGAGAAGGGGGAGATGCAGAAGTAGTGAAGGTGGGCAGCGCCAGGACAAAGAGGACAGGTGAAGCATGGAGAAGCACGAGGGGGCCAGAGCAGGTGCTTCTCTACCCCTAGCGTCCCCCCTCCTTTGTTCCAGACTGCAACTATGATCTTAAAATGCCGCATAGAAACCTCGCTCCTTTGGCCTCACGCAGGAAGCTTCTCCAGATCGCTTTCGTCCCGGTCAGCCCTAACACCCTCTGCATGCTCTATCTGGAAAGGTACTTTCTTAGTCATGGGACACACCAGGGTTCAAAATGCTATGTTCTGTTTCCCCAGCTACAACTCAAACCCTCAGCGCCCCCCCCCCGCCCCGGCCCGGGGGCCCACCTTGCCTTTGTGCTTTTCATAACAACTGTGATTCATGTATATTGACCCATTATGTGCCAGCCCTGTATGACGTTTTTCAGACCCGTGGACTCATTTAATCCATTACAGGCACCCTAGGAAGTAATAAGCGCTATTAAAATGCCTATTTAACAGATGGGGAAACACCAAGGATGGAGAAGGGAAGTAACTTTCTGGGATCTGGAGTCAAACCACAGCGCTGTGCTTCCTCTGGCAGCCCGTGGCCCTAAGACCAAGAGCACCCATACCTCGAAGGGCTGATTGTGTGTGAAGATGGCTGGTGGAGGTTAAACAGGAAAGGGAAGGACACAGAAAGGGCCCCTGGCTAGAAAAGAAAGTGGGAAGGTGGGAGCTGTGGGAAGGGACATAATGGGACAGAGGGCAAGCCAAGGGCAAAGATCAGGGAGAAGACACAGTCCACTGACAAGTGCAGGGGACCAGAGTCTGTGGCACAAGACGGTCACAATGCTAAAGTCCCATGGAGAGGAAAAAAAGGGAGAAGAGACACAAGGGCTCTGTGGCAGAGAGGAAGATGAACACATTCAATATGGGCATCAATAAAGGCACACGGGCTGAGACACCTGTCCAGCAACCCGCTCTACTAAGGCCCTTCTCATCACCAGACATCCCTCCAGGCCACAGCGCCGCTCACCCGAGGAACGCTCTCCAGCTGGGGCCCAGAAGTGCTCCTGCTGCCCAGGGAGCTGCTGAACTTCCTCGGGGTGTCCCCATAATTAAAGAGGCGAAGCCTGAAGAGGAAGAAGCCCAGCACCCACGGTGGGTCCCGTCAGCTACTCCTTTGTCGTGTATTTCTTTGATAGGATTTCAAATCCACTTGCTTATGACTTAAGTGAAGTTGTCTTAATCCACTTGTATATGATAAAGTGGAGGAAAAAAGATGTATTTAGAAGTTTTTTTTTAAAAATATTTTACTTATTTGAGAGAGAAAGAGTGAGCAAGAGAGCGAGAGAGAGCACAAGTGTTGGGGGCAGAGGGAGAAAGATGACTCCCCTGCTGAGCTGGGAGGTGGACTCAGGGCTCGACCTCGGGACCCTGGGATCATGACCTGAGCCAAAGGCAGATGCTCAACCAACAGAGCCACCCAGACGCCCCCAGAAGTAAACTTGTTTTGATAGAAGAATGAAATCAGTTGTGTCAGGATATCACCGTCTCATCTGTTCTGGTCCCTCAGAACTCAGCTGCTGAGAGGCCCCACTGGTGGCTTAACAATGAGGGTGTATGAAGGGACAGCGATGGCAAGGGAATATTAAACTGTGACCAGAGTCTGTGAGGACAATCCAAGAGCATCTTGTCTGAGCGAGCCTACACTATACCGATCTAAGACAGCTCCTTGAAGACATTGGGGTAATCGGCTCCAGCCTTAGTAAAGCAGACTTTTTTTTTTTTTTTTTTTTTTTAGTTTTTTAATTCCAGTAAGTTAACATACAGCATTATATTAGTTGTAGGTGTACAATATAGTGATTCAACAATTCCATGCCTTACTCAGTGCTCAGGAAGATAACTGTGCCCTTAATCCCCATCACCTATTTCTCCCATCCCCCCACCTCCTTCCCCTCTGGTAAGCATCTGTTCTCTATAATTAAGAGTCTATTTTGTAGTTTTTTTGGTCTCTTTTTTCCTTTGTTCATTTGTTTTGTTTCTTAAATTCCCATAGGAGTATCTGTCTTTCTCTATTTCACTTAGCATTATACTCTTTAGATCCATTCATGTTGTTGCATATGGCAAGATTTTATTCTTTTTATGACTGAATAATATTCCATTGTGTATATATACCACATCTTCTTTATCTACGCATCTACAAATGGACATTTGTATTGCTTCTGTAATTTGACTATTGCAAATAATGCTGCAATAAACATAGGGTGAACATACCTTTTCAAATTAGTGTTTCTGTATTCTTTGGGTAAATACCCCGTAATGGAATTACTGGTCATTCTATTTTTAATTTTTTGAGGAACCTCCATACTGTTTTCCACAGTGACTATACCAGTTTGCATTTCCACCAGTAGTACATGAGAGTTCCCCAACACTTGTTTCTTGTGTTTTTGATTTCCGCCATTTTGACAGGCGTGAGGGGGTATCTCACTGTGGTTTCCCTGACGATGAATGACGTTGAGTATCCTTTCATGTGTCTAGATGTGTTGGCCATCTGGATGTCTTCTTCAGAAAAATATCTCTTCATGTCTTCTGCCCACTTTGAATTGGATTATTTATTTTTTGGGTGTAGAGTTCTTTATATATTTTGGATACTAACCCTTTATCAGATACGTTGTTTGCAAATATTTTCTCCGATTCTGTAGGCTTTTAGTTTTATTGTTTCTTTTGCTATGCAGACAATTTTATTTTGATGTGATCCCAATATTTTTGCTGTTGTTTCCCTTGCCTCAGAAAATAGATCTAGAAATATGTTATGGCTGATGTCAGAGAAATTATCGCTCGTGCTTTCTTCTAGGATTTTTATGGTTTCAGGTCTGAGCATTTAGGTCTTTCATCCATTTTGAGTTTATTTTTGTGTACGGTGTAAGAAAGTGGTCCAGTTTCATTCCTTTGCATGTAGCTGCCCAGTTTTCCCAATGTCATTTTTGAAGAGACTGTTTTTCCCATTGCATATTCTTGGCTTCCTTTGTTGAAGATGGACTATATAATCGTGGGTTATTTCTGGGCTTTCTATTGTTTTCACTGATCTTTTGTAACAATACCACACTGTTTTGATTACAGCTTTATAGTATATCTTGAAATCTAGGATTGTGATACCTCCAGTTTTGTTCTTCCTTTTCAAGACTGCTTTGGCTATTTGGGGTCTTTTGTATTTCCATTCAAATTTTAGAATTGTTTGTCCTAGTTCTGTGAAAAATCTGTTGGTATTTTATAAGGATCTCATTAAATCTATAGATTATTTTATATATTTTAACAGTATTTATTCCCAATCCACAAGGATGGAATGTCTTCCCATTTCTTTCTGTTGTCTTCAATTTCTTTCATCAGTGTTGTATAGTTTTCAGAGGCCAGGTTAAGTTGGTTAAGTGTATTCCTAGGTATATTGTTATTTTTGGTGCAATTGTAAATGGAATTGTTTTCTTATATTCTCTTTCTGCTACTTCATTATTCATGTACAGAAATGCAATGGATTTATGTATATTGATTTTATATCCTGTAACTTTACTGAATTAGTTTGTTAGCTCTAGTAGTTTTTTGATGGAGTCTTTAGGGTTTTCTAGATATAGTATCATGTCATCTGCAAATAGTGGATGTTTTACTTCTTCCTTACTAATTTGGATGACTTTTATTTCTTTTTCTTGTCTGATTGCTGTGGCTAGGACTTCCAGTACATGCTGAATAAAAATGGTGATAGTGGACATCCATAAAGGTGACACTTGCAGCGGGGAAAGTCAAACAGCAGTCCCATAAAAAACATCTTTCCCAACAACACTAGCTCCCCTGTTCCCTAACAATATGTTCTAGCAACACAGGACTTTTACTTTTGCACTGGTAGCTGGATATCAGCTCTCAGTTGGCTAAGCTGTCTCTTCCCAGTACCAACTTGTATAAAGGTATACCTCAACTAAATTTGTCTTTTATTCCTTTCATCTTCCCTTACCTGGAACAATAGTATGATTAATCTGTCATTGATTTGGAGTATGTTATTTCTTTCCTGGTTTATTTCATTTTTTTAAAAGATTTTTATTTATTTATTTATTTATTTATTTTTTAAATTTTTTTTGTTGTTGTTGTTTATTTGACAGAGAGCTAGAGAGAGAGCACAAGTAAGCAGAGCAGCAGGGAGAGGGGGAAAGAGAGAAGCAGGCTCTCCGCTGAGCAGGGAGCCCAATGTGGGGCTCAATCCCAGGACCCTGGAATCATGACCTGAGCCAAAGGCAGCCGCTTAACCAACTGAGCCACCCGGGTGCCCCTTTATTTATTTATTTGACAGAGAGAGATCACAAGTAGGCAGAGAAGCAGGCAGAGAGGCAGGCAGAGAGAGAGGAAGGGAAGCAGACTCCCCGCTGAGCAGAGAGCCCGATGCGGAACTTGAACCCAGGACCCTGAGACCATGACCTGAGCCGAAGGCAGCGGCTTAACCCACTGAGCCACCCAGGTGCCCTCTTTACTGGTTTAGTAAGAGAAATTATCCTGTGTACTACTGGCTTGTAAAATTCCTACAGTAAAGCCATGTTAATGTTAAATATGTTATTTAATATTATTTAATTAATGTTATTTAATTAATTTTATTTAACCTTAACTTATATTCATGTTAAATAAGTTGCTGGCAAAGAACTCAGCCTCTGAGCATAATTTGCCTCCCAAAATAAGATAGCCCTCATACCCAGGGAAGAAGAAACAAGCCAGGGACATGCCACATCCCGTGGGCAGGGGAAGAGGAGGAACCTCATTCAGCCTCTCCTGCCAAGATACATGGATTCCTTGGCATGGCACAGACACCTTATCATGGTCAGGCAGAGGGCTTGAGAATAAGGGAGAAATTCTGGGCTCATATTCAGGTTCAGCAGGTTCTACTAACAGTGCTGTCGGGGAGTAAAGAGGGGAAACAGTCAAAATGAAGAGTACAGGGCCAGTGAGAGTCAGAATA